TGTATTTTTAAAAAAAAACAAAGCTTCCTGTGAACAGATGAGCAGCACTCAGCTTGACTATATTGTGTTCTGGGAACAGGATGTTAAAGTCTCCATACCACTGCCAGAACACCAAGCTGTATACTATATGTAGCTGGTGCCAAATACAGTTTTTTTATAGATGATGCATTTCTTTGTAATGGAAATAGTTTGATTGGGCCACATTGGCCCAAACAAATTAATATGAAACGAAACCTAGAGTTTGGTTTTAACTTGGTCTTGTCTGTTTTGAGCATTTCTTTGAACTTCACTGAGCTTGACACAAAGTTTAAAATCGCTTAAGGTCTGCCCTATAGCAGATTTAATGCTACAGGACAGTCCGCCACACACACACACACATATATACACACACACACACACACACACACACAATTATATATATACATATATACACGCAATTTTGCACTTCCGCAAAAGGGGGCATGTGCGCTGCCAGCGGATTTCTTTCTGCTGTGAACACTCACTGCAGAAGCTGATCTGCAAGTGCTGGTGAACGGATGTCCACCGACACCCACCGATCATCAGGCAGGACACAGAACAGAGCTCTGCCTATGTAAAATAGGCAGAGCTCTGTTCTGATGGGGGGAGTAGGATCGTGTGTCCCTGCAAAACTGGGAACATGATCCTTTACTTTCCCTAGTAAAAAGGAATACCTAATGTACACCAAACATAGCGGCACACAAAGTTAACCCTTTGATCACTCTAGATGTTTAATCCCTTCCCAGCCAGTTTCATTAGTACAGTGATCAGTTAATATTTTTAGCACTGATCATTTTTATTAGTGTCACTGGTTCCCACAAAGTGTCAGTGTAAAAATTTCCACTGCAATATCGTATCGGAGTCCCGCTATAAGTTACCGATTGCAGTCATTACTAGTATAAAAAATTTTTTTTTTTTTTAATTCAAGTATGTCCCATAGTTTGTAGACGCTATAACTTTTGCACAAACTAATAAATATATGCTTAATGGATTTTTTAATTAAATTTTTTCTCACCAAAAAGATGTTGCAGAATACATTTTGACCTAAATTTATGAAGAAATTAGATTTTTTTAATTTCTTTTTTTTTTTATTATTATTATTACTAAATATGTTTTGTAGCAGAAAATAAAAAAAGTTCTCAAAATTGTCGGTCTTTTTGTTTAGAGCGCAAAAAGTAAACTTTGTTTATGTACAGCACTGTTAAACTTGGAGGAAAAAAACAAACAAAAAAACAAAACCGCGCAGAATAAAAAGAAAAAAAAAAAAAATGGCCTGGTCAGGAAGGGGGGTAAATCTTCGAGGTCAAGTGCTTACTGAAACCTGGAGTCCGATGGAGACAAAGAAGGGGGTTAGGGAAGGACAGTTCGACACACAGGAGGAACAATTAACAGTGCCATCTAGCACAAAGGCTTTTAACAAGCAATAAAATGTGATAGTTTCTGAAACACGACTAAGGCCGAGATCTCTCCCTTGATGGTACTTAAGCCACAGACTTCTTTACACTAGTGCTTTTCATGTACTGTGCACCTTTCTGGAGGTAAAATTTCTTGCATTAAGGAGAGTAGGGGTCACAGAAACAATACATTTGCTTATAGGAATTACAGAGACAAACACTACTATCCCTCAGGACTTGGGCATCAAAAGCGATGCCCATCAAGCCAGTGACCAAAGCAGGATAGAAGACTGCACCCTGTAACAGTAAATTTGGCAGATCAGGAGCAGGCCACAGTTCAACTGTCAAGAGATAGACAATGTCTGCATACCATGTTCTTCTTGGCTAAGATGGTGCTTGCAGGATCATCAGAGTGCCCGCTCACCTTTATCCTATGTAAAAGGAGAGTAAGACACTGCTGTGGAGAGATGACATGAGACAAAAACCTTTCCAGTTTTTTTTTTTTTTTAAATATGTATGTAAAAAGATCCACTTTTGGAGTCTCCCAACACAAACCAAATCCCTGCAAACATTTCTGAGCGAAGGGTTCATTCTTCTTCATTCAGCTCCTTATGGCTGAGAGTCCAACAGCAAATTTTCAAAACTGGGATATGTACACAACAGAGGGCTAAAAAGTAAAGTTCTTCCCAAGACAGCACTACTGGTCCCTTGATGGTTGATACATGCCACTACTGTGGCACTGACCAACTGTACCATGACAAGGAGATCCTAAAAAAGGTACACAGACCAGTGTATTAGAGCATGCGGAATGGCCCAATGTTCCAGGATGTTAATCAGCAACTTCCACTCCTCTGATGACCACTTTCTCCAGAACCCCACCTCAGCGCAACAGGCTGGCATCTGTCATCAAGGGCTTCCAATTCAACAGAAAGATTGATTTCCATGTATCCAGCATTCCAAAGATAACCTTTTCTTGTGAGTCAGATGTACTGGCAGATCCAAGGACTCCTGACGTTCGTACTATACCGCCAGGATATTGAGCTGAAGAGCTCTGGAGCCAGACTGGGCAAAGAGGATTGCATCCAAGGCAACTACCTTCACCCCTAAGACCAGACACTTCACTCCTTCCTGCCCAGGCCAATTTTTGTCATACTTTGGATGACAATTACTAAAGACAAGCAACACTGTACCCAAATGAATTTTTTTTTAAATTTTTTAAACAAATGCAACTTTCCTTTGGTGGCATTTCTTCACCACGGTCTTTTTATTTTTTGCTAAACAAAATTGAGAAAAATAAGACAAACATGTTTTTCTTAGTTTGGGTTATACAGTTGTGCAAATAAATTACGGCCAAAATGTATTAGACTAAATTTCTTTGGTAAAACACAAGGTTTAGGGGGGCACTCATGAGCAGCAACATGAGATGGCCGCATTCTAACGGCGCTCCACGCCCACCAAACACATCAGCCTCTATAGGGCCCCCCACAGAAATACAATACTTGCCCCTCACCCCTCCTCAGGTGCCTGGTATTTCTACTGACAGGGGATTCGGCTAGGTTATTGCCCGGTTCCCAGTTTATGTTTGTTGCCTTTCGTATTTCACCATAGATATGTTGATCATAGTGATATGGTTATACCATTGTACATGCTCTTCGTGTTTCTTTGTCTCTCGCTTTTCTTTTCTTCTCTTTTGGTTCTTTTTTTCTGCAGGGTTTCGGGACGCCATGGACGGGCTGTCCTTGAGAATGGAAATTGTTGGCCGACCTATGCCTTTTCTGCTGAGCGGATTACACTGATTCCGTCATGGCTTCGCCCCCTTTGAAAGTACATTCACAAAATATCCAAGGTTTTAATTTGCCTCAGAAGCGGCCTAAAGTCTTCCATCACCTCAAATTGCAGCAAATTGGCATGGTCTGCCTGCAGGAAACCAGGTTTTCCCAGTCCTCCACCCCACTGTATCTTTCATCTCATTGTAGACAGTCCGTGGTATTTAGTAAGAGATTTTTGAAGTTGTAATTTTAATTGTTCACAAAGCTGTTATTTTAACGGTTTCTCACTCACACACACTTATTACACCCCAAAACATTCTGCTACACCTCCGAAGTATGGGGATACCACGCATGTGAGACTTTCACATCCTAGATGCATAGAGGCCCAAAATCCAAGAAGCACCTTCAGGAGATCCAAGGGCATACATTACACATCTAATTTCCAGACTACCCATCACATTTTCGGAGGCCCTGGAGCAACAGGACAGTGGTAACGCCAAAAAATAACCATATTATGGAAAGCAAACGCCCCAAGGTATTCTTGAAGAGGCATGGCGGGTCTTTTGAAGACTTCGTTTTTTGCCACAGGTTTTTGGGAAATGCAGAAAGAAAATAAAATGTGTTTTTTTACACTATTGTTAATTTAATAAGATTTTTCTCACAGACAGCATGGGCATGCTTAGAATTACAACCAAAAACACTCTATACTACTCCTCCTGGGTATGGCTGTAAAAGACTAAGTGTCCGGACTGATTATGTACCAGACATTGGGGAAGGGGGATTTACTAAAACCGATTCACTCAGATTCTGGTGCAGCTGTGCATGATACTCAATCAGCTTCTAACTTCAGCTTGTTCAATTAAGCTTTGACAAAAAACCTGCAAGCCGATTGGCTTCCATACAGATTTTGCACCATGCAGTTTTAGAAAAAAACCCCTGTGGTGTCTTGTGTATCACACAAATTATCATGTCAAAACCAATGTACTGTAATGGTAGCCTCTGTACGAGGGATAAGGGAATATAGCTTAGTGTAGTGTCACCTATAGCAGCCCCCATTTCTGTAAGCCAAACAAACCCAACAGTACATGGCTGCCCCCAGGAATGCCATGTTCACTAGCCAGGAAGCAAAGGAGACTGAAGAAAATAATACAAGGGTTCCTGTGGTTCTAGGAGTGCAGTTGTCCACAGGGCATGGCTGGGACTGGTGTCTAGCAGGAATGTCGAAATGGACCTAGCAGTCACTTCCAAAGGTTTAAAGGCCATGTTAACCTTTTACAGAAAATGGCTTATGCAGTCAAGGGGGCAAATTAAAAAAAAAAAAAAACCACCAAGCTTTGTAAAATGTTAAAGAACATTGTCATACCTGTACATCATTTGGGTCCCCTCAGAAGCCAACTCCCAGGTAGCAACCCCCATGTCCTACTATATTCTGGAAAAGGTAAACTTGGCCTTTTTAGCAGTAAGCACAGTATAACTATCACCATTATCAAATGCACTGTACCACTTAAAATTATTTTTTTTTCCTCTTTTAAAAACAAAGTCAGGATACTGACAGAAATGTGAATGCAAACATTAAAAAGATTACAAGTTATAAAATCAGACTGTATTAAGTCCCAGAATACCACACTCAACAGTACACTAACATTTTAGGAGACAACACAGTGGCTCTTACTATTACTGTAATTTATAACATACCTGCATTACTGATGAAAATGCCTTCTTCTCCCCTACAGTTTCCAAAGCTTTGTAGGTGGCACAAAGTAGAAGTAGTTTCACTTCATCTTTAGAAGATGAGCTAAATTTTGTTAAAAATCCACTTAAAGATCTTCTCTGCCTCATAGCTCAGACCAGCACAGAGCAATCCAAGGCACTGTGCCCCCTCCTGCCGCAGTTCTTGAAGCAGTTTGCTACTAGAAGAGCAAAAGACATAACATTGTTTGAGCACAGGAAGAAACTTACAGTGGAAGCAAGTTGTACTAATCTAAATGCATTGTGCTTAGTACAAGGAATACAGAAAAAATATTTGTTAGTTACTCACCATAAAATCACTTTCTCTGAGTTAATTGATGGACACAGTTTCTCTTAGTTTTGACCAAGCAGGGTTTTATACTGTTACCTACAGGTGTAGGAGATTAGGCAGAAAAAAAAAAAAAAAAAACCCACACAACCCTAAAACAGGGCCCTCCTATTCCTTCTGTACTGAACTGTGCTGTAAAAGCACTTCGTAAACTCTTGGTGCTATATAAAAATTCTGAATAATAATAATTATGGGGATGGTGCGGTGTCCATCAATGAACTTGTAGAAAGGGATATGACAGTAAAAAAATGTCACAATGAGGGATGGGCAAGAGAACCCAGGGAACAACTAGGCAAACATGGCATAAAAAAAAAATAAAAAAAACACAACACACTACAGACAACCCTGAAAAACGTAGCAGCCAAAACTAGCATCCACGGATGCCAAGACATCAATCTTATAAGATTTAGTGTGAATTGATGACCAGGTTGCCGCTGTGCAAACCTGAGTAAGACACCTGATGTCGGAACACCAAGGAGACACTAACCTCCATGGTGGAGTGTGCTGGAATGGGGAAGGAGGTTTCTGACTTAACCATCTTCTGCCAAACCTAACAACAGGAAAAAGTGGCAGGAGGCCGCCACTATACCCTTTTTCTTGGACCATCCGAAAGGAACAACTAGAGAATCAGACCTCCGGAAGGCAGCCATGGTGGATAGGTACACACGAATCGCCAAGGAGTGCAAAGCCACCTCCTTGGGGTGCAAAGGCCAAAGACACAAGGAAGGTAGACCCATTCAAGTGGAAATCAGACACCACCTTTGGAAGGAAAGAAAAGGGACAAAGAAACCCAAATTCTTGTAAAAAAATCAGATAGGGAGGCCTATAAAAGACAAAGCAGCTTTACGGGAAGTCCAAATTTTCAGAGAGAGTGACCAGGAAGGCAACTTTCCAAGAGAGAGCAAGGGGAAAAAACCCAAATGCTCTTGAAAGGGGGTTTCTGGAGAAAAAGTAAAAACAAATTCAAGTCCTGCGGTGGCAATGGAGAATGAACGGGAGGGGGTATTACACGGCAAATACTCTTCAATAAAAGGTCCGCATCAAGGAGTGTACAGCCAAAGGGCATTGAAGGAAAACCATCAAGAGCAGATACCTGACCTTTAATAGTACTCCAAGCAAGTGCTTGGTTACTGCCCCATTGAAGAAAGGCCAACATTAGAGCCACCGAGAAAGAACAGAGAAAGTCTCACACCAAATTATATAAGCTATTTAGGTGAGGTGATATATCGTCAAGGAGGTAGAGCTTACAAGCCTACAACAATGTAGGAATCATAGAGCCAGACAGACACCCTACCCTGTTGCTCAGAACCTGGCTCTCAATAGCCATGCAGTCAAAAGGCAGAAGCGGTAAAAGCAGGGTTGAAGACCAGACCCTAGAAAAGGAGGTCCACCTGAAAAGGCAACCGCCAGGGAGAGTCCGCAACCAGCCACACCACTTGGTGTACCATGGACAATGAGGCTAATCCGGAGCCACCAGAATAACAGGAAATCTTTCGGCCTCTATCATGCACAGCAGATGAGGAATCTACACAAGAAAGTACTAATGCCACGGCGCCACCAGTGCATCTGTCGCAACTGCCAGAGGATCCCTCATTCGTGACATGAACCTCAAAAACTTTTTGGTGGATGCAGGACACCAGCAGATCACATTCAGCATCCCCCAGCAGAAAGAGCAGTAATCAGCCTGCCAGGATTCAAAACCAGGGATGTGCATGGTGGACAGAGCTGGAACAAAACAGCAGAACCACTCCAACTAGGGTACAACTCAAGAGACAATCACTCCCTTAAGGAGTAGGTCCTGTACAGCTCCGTACACAGCCTGTAAATTCTCTAGTGAGAATGAAGATTGGAGGAAAAGAATGTTTCCGATGGAAAGGAATGAAATTCTATCTTATACCCGGAGACAATGAGATCACAGACCCACTTTCCAGGGATGAAGGAGGTCAATGGGCCTGAGAATTGGTGAAGGCGACCCCCACCCTAGATCGGGTGGAGTCAAACCTTTATTCTGAAGAGGAATTATCCATGGCCTTGGAAGGCTTTTGGGACTAGGGGCACTTGGCAGTGCCTGCTGGACTTTTGAAGGGATTGGAGCCCATGTCTGAAGCATCCGGGGAACAAAAAAAATCCGCTGATGCATAGTGAAGTCAGGCCACGAGCTTCGATGCAGGTCCTTCTTGGCCTGAGTGAGGAAGGTGGTTTTGCAACCTTTGCCAGGTTCTTAATTAAGTAATCCAATATAGCCTCAAATAAAAGGTGGCTCTGGAAAGGTAGATCTGCCAGGACCTTCTCTAAAGTCTACCTCAGCAGACCAACACTTGAGCCAAAGGACTCGCCAGAGTACTACCACAAAAACAGTTTTGAGAGAAGTGGAACTGCATCAAGGGACAAGTCACAAACATATTTCAACCTCATATACAAATGGTATGCATGCAACCTCAGGACTAACTGGGTCAATCAGTTCCACATATGCTTGGGGACCCGTCTAGAATTCAAAGCCTGTTGTAGAACCATGGCCCATTTAGTTAATGTCTGGGAAACCAGCTCTGTGGTCAACACTGGTCATAGAGCTGACACAGAAATGGTAATTTTTTATTTTTTTATACGCAAAACCGCCCCTGCAATAGTAAACCCAGTGTGGGTGGCCATTACTACCTTAAAAGGCTAAGATAGCCCCATCAATAACATGGCTGTATCTGTCAACCTAGACTAGCAGGAGCCCAAAGGCTGCAACTGGATAGAATATAGCTACTGCCAGAAACCTGAGGCTATATGTAGGATACAAAACACATGACCTGGCATTTGAAACGCATCTGCTCATACCTTTTTTCCCCTCCTTTATTATGAGGGAGCAGAGCTAGCTGGGATTTAATCCTGCAACCTGCCAGTCACAACAATTCTTCCAGCAACCTCAGTTGGCCAAGTCATCTGAACCCCAGGGAGCACCCTCACCCAACACCGCATCCAGGGAGAGAAGGGGGCATCTACCTTCCGAATCAGTGGAGCGTGCAGGTAAGGTACCCATGACATCCACCTCTTCACCACAGGAGGCCAGGGTAACACCGTGACACTGACTATAGGTGCTCGGTCATCTGTGTCCCTGTGAGACATTTAACTCGCTGGCCGCCCCCCCGGTCCAGGATGGGGCTTGTCACAGCCAACCTAGCACATAACTAAAGGTCTGCGTGCACTCGTTGGCCAGACTGGTGTGACCACTGGATCTAGATTATCCAGCCCATCGCCCAGTCTGGCTATTGATTGAAGGTCTCTGCAGGGAAATATCCCATGAGGAAAAAAAAAAAAAAAAATGGAACCACAGGTCCCAGCGGAGAACTAGATCCTTTCTCCTGAAACAATAGGCAGAAACAACTGGCTTGCCTATAGTGGGGGGTTATGCCTAGAGAGGACTGCCCAAAGGAGGTGTCGCATTTATTTTACCTAGTGTCCTACTCCTGTAGGTGGCGATATAAAACCCTGTTTAATCAAGACTAAAGAAGAGAAGCTGTGTCCGTCAATGAATGCAAGAGAAATTTAAAGTATACGAACACTCATCTTGTGAAACAACCCATTTTGTTTTCACACAAAGGAAGCAATAAAAAGAGCAGGATACTTTTTTACCCCACACATTGTACAGCAGGCACATATCAGGAAAATTAAATGTTGGGTTTACATATTCTTTAAAAATCTAGGAACCGTAAAAATTAAACCCATTTATAGTGAATCTAGACTCTCAATCTATCAAAAAAAACTACCTTTTAGGGTCTAGCAGAGTACTCTGGAAACACTGTTACAAACCACCAACTTCAGAAACTAAAACTAAGCTAGGATCAATCTACTACCACATTTCGCTATTGTTACGTAACATGTATCACAGTGATGAACAATGAGGCACAATGAGTGGACTTAAACTCAAAAGATAGGCAGCATATAACAGAACACCCCAGATTTTGGGGCTCATGAACCACAAAAGAGCATCACATATTTCTACCTGCATATACTATATTATCTGTAGTTTGCTATGTACAAGTAGAAAAACACTTTAAAAAGGAGAAGTTCACTTTTTTTGGGGGGGGGGGAGTAAACACTTAACAGTTAATTGAGAACTACAAGCAGCCAGCCGCAACAGACGACAATACTTGTAAGCATTTTCGTTCACAGGGAAACAAGTATGCATGTCTACTGCTGATGCTGGAATACAGTCAGGTCCATAAATATTGGGACATCGACACAATTCTAACATTTTTGGCTCTATACACCACCACAATGGATTTGAAATAAAACAAACAAGACGTGCTTTAACTGCAGACTGTCAGCTTTAATTTGAGGGTATTTACATCCAAATCAGGTGAAGGGTGTAGGAATTACAACAGTTTGCATATGTGCCTCCTACTTGTTAAGGGACCAAAAGTAATGGGACAGAATAATAATCCTAAATCAAACTTTCACTTAATACTTGGTTGCAAATCCTTTGCAGTCAATTACAGCCTGAAGTCTGGAACACAGACATCACCAGACGCTGGGTTTCATCCCTGGTGATGCTCTGCAGGCCTCTACTGCAACTCTCTTCAGTTCCTGCTTGTTCTTGGGGCATTTTCCCTTCAGTTTTGTCTTCAGCAAGTGAAATGCATGCTCAGTCGGATTCAGGTCAGGTGATTGACTTGGCCATTGCATAACATTCCACTTCTTTCCCTTAAAAAAACTCTTTGGTTGCTTTTGCAGTATGCTTTGGGTCATTGTCCATCTGCACTGTGAAGCGACGTCCAATGAGTTCTGAAGCATTTGGCTGAATATAAGCAGATAATATTGCCCGAAACACTTCAGAACTCATCCTGCTACTTTTGTCAGCAGTCACATCATCAATAAATACAAGAGAACCAGTTCCATTGGCAGCCATACATGCCCACGCCATGACACTACCACCACCATGCTTCACTGATAAGGTGGTATGCTTAGGATCATGAGCAGTTCCTTTCCTTCTCCATACTCTTCTCTTCCCATCACTCTGGTACAAGTTGATCTTGGTCTCATCTGTCCATAGGATGTTGTTCCAGAACTGTGAAGGCTTTTTTAGATGTCGTTTGGCAAACTCTAATCTGGCCTTCCTGTTTTTGAGGCTCACCAATGGTTTACATCTTGTGGTGAACCCTCTGTATTCACTCTGGTGAAGTCTTCTCTTGATTGTTGACTTACATACACCTACCTCCTGGAGAGTGTTCTTGATCTGGCCAACTGTTGTGAAGGGTGTTTTCTTCACCAGGGAAAGAATTCTTCGGTCATCCACCACAGTTGTTTTCCATGGTCTTCCGGGTCTTTTGGTGTTGCTGAGCTCACCGGTGCGTTCCTTCATTTTAGGAATGTTCCAAACAGTTGTTTTGGCCACGCCTAATGTTTTTGCTATCTCTCTGATGGGTTTGTTTTGTTTTTTCAGCCTAATGATGGCTTGCTTCACTGATCGTGACAGTTCTTTGGATCTCATCTTGAGAGTTGACAGCAACAGATTCCAAATGCAAATAGCACACTTGAAATGAACTCTGGACCTTTTATCTGCTCATTGTAATTGGGATAATGAGGGAATAACACACACCTGGCCATGGAACAGCTGAGAAGCCAATTGTCCCATTACTTTTGGTCCCTTAACACATGGGAGGCACATATGCAAACTGTTGTAATTCCTACACCGTTCACCTGATTTGGATGTAAATACCCTCAAATTAAAGCTGACAGTCTGCAGTTAAAGCACATCTTGTTCGTTTCATTTCAAATCCATTGTGGTGGTGTCTAGAGCCAAAAATGTTAGAATTGTGTTGATGTCCCAATATTTATGGACCTGACTGTATGTTACCTGTTCCACCCTAAAAATCGGGAGGAACATGTAATATGTTCAAAAGGTGAACTTATCCTTCAAAATTAAGTGCCTCATTTCGAGGTTTCTATGGGTTTTAAACACAAACATACCTTTCATTTAACACATCATTGATAGCAGTCAAGATATTGTCAAGTTGTTTAACCAGCACCTAAAAAAAAAAAAAGTGCACCTTATTACACAGGATTTTAAGACAGGACAAATATGCAGAACAAAGCTTAAATATGGCAAATAAATGTATGACTGGAGCTAAATATATATACAGTGCATCCAGAAAGTATTCACAGCGCTTAACTTTTTCCACATTTTGTTATGTTACAGCCTTATTCCAAAATGGATTAAATGAATTTTTTTTCCTCAATAGTCTACAAACAATACCCCATAATGACAATGTGAAAGAAGTTCATTTTGAAATCTTTGCAATTTACTTAAAAAAAAAAAAAAAAAAAAAAAACCACGTACACAAGTATTCCCATCCTTTGCTCAATACTTTGTTGAAGAACCTTTAGTACCAATTACAGCCTCAAGTCATTTTGAGAATGATGGCACACTTTTTTGGGCAATTTCTCCCATTCTTCTTTGCAGTACCTCTCAAGCTTCAATCAGGTTGGATGTGGAGCGTTGGTGCTTAGCCATTGTCAGATCTCTCCAGAGATGTTCAATCGGGTTCAATTCTGGGCCACTCCAGGACATTCACAGAGTTGGCCCGTAGACACTCCTTTGTTATGTGGGCTGTGTGCTTAGGGTCATTGTCCTGTTGAAAGATGAACCGTCGCCCCAGTCTAAGGTCCACAGCACTCTGGAACAGGTTTTCATCAAGGATGTCTCTGTACATTGCTGCATTCATCTTTCCTACGATTCTGACTAGTCTCCCAGTTCCCGCTCTAGGAAGATACCTCGTGGTTCCACACTTCTTCCATTTACAGATGATGGAGACCACTGTGCTCATTGGGACCTTAAATGCTGTAGAAATTTTTCTGTACCCTTCCCCAGATCTGTGTCTAGATACAATCCTGTCTCGGAGGTCTACGGACACTTCCTCGGACTTCATTGCTTGGTTTGTGCTCTGACATGCACTGTTAACTGTGGGACCTTATATAGACAGGTTTATGCCTTTCCTAATCATATCCAATAAACTGAATTTCCCACAGGTGGACTCCAATCAAGTTGTGGAAACATCAAGGATGATCAGTGGGAACAGGATGCACCAGAGCTCAATTTTGAGTGTCATGGCAAAGGCTGTGAATACTTATGTACATGTGGTTTGTTGCGGTTTTTTTTTTTTTAATAAATTGCAAATATTTCAAAACTAACCTCTTTCACATTGTCATTATGGGGTATTGTTTGTAGAATGTTGAGGAAAAAAATTATTTTAATCCATTTTGAAATAAGGCTGTAACATAACAAAATGTGGCAAGTTAAGCGCTGTGAATACTTTCTGGATGCACTGTAATTGCAAAACTCAACCTTTTTTCCCTAATTTTAGAAGGGGTTGTACACCTAGTAAGCATAGTTACTCTTCCTCTTTAGCTATACACCAGTACAATTCACTGGCTCATCAGTGTCTGAAGACCCAGTAAAAAAAAAGAAAAAAAAAAAAAAAAAAAAAAAAAAAGGAAAGACTAATAGAAAAACCAAGAACGCGAATGAAAAAAACTGACACATAAAAAGAGAGTGTACTTGTCCTGAACCCAAGCAGACAGCAGCATGATCTTGTGATAGCTTACCATTACTATATGATCTTTGCTGGCAAAACACTAAAACAATTCACAATCAAAATTTTGACTTCCATAAAAAAAAATTAATTTAAAAATCTTCCACCACTGTAGCGATTTTCCTTTTAAATGAAGTTTAAACAGTTACACACTCTTCCCCAAACCTGTCAAGCACGCTCAGAAGCCATCCTATGACATGGGAGAATAAGAGCTGGCAGCACAGCAGGCTACTTACAATAGAGGAACCTCCATGGAATCCACTAAGCATTTGCAGGTGTTCAGAAGAGAGCCAGCCACTAGGAATCTCATGGGGAGGTACCAATCTTTGGATTATTTAATTTAGTATCTACCATCACATGTATAAGGTCTAGATCCTGCTTAATACAAAGATAGCGATAATACAACTTATTGGTGTTAGTATGTTATGCTCTGAAAACCCAGGTTTTCTTTAACCACTTTAGAACTCAAATCTACATAACTCTTATAGAACAGAGCACCTTTTAAATTTTATACATAGGCCTATTGAATTCAGTAATAATTTTGTTGTTACTTGAAAATGATAAAAACTTTTTTCCAGCATTGTCTTTAATTTTTTTTCTATGCAATCTACAGGCAAAAAGAGACATCACAAAAAAGGAAGAAATATTTTTCACAATTTAAGGATAGCATAAAACTGTTACTGTAGATAAAAAGTACAAATTCTCAAGGCAATAAACACTAAAATCACATCTCTGGTACACTGAATTTGAGATAACGGAGGCCACAGGCCCAGCTTGATTTAAAGGCTTCGGAGTGTCAGAGAGACTCTGCAGGATGGTGCCTGGGAGTGTCAAAAGTCTCTGCTCTCAGGTTTTTAGATTAAAGGCGTTATCCTTCTGGGGATATCGGGTACACTCTCCTAGAACCACTAAGGGAGTACAAGCTGAAGTCACCTGTGGCAGCAGGTTTCTTAGCAAAGATATGTTGCTTCTGCAGAGCAGCAATTCAAATATATTAATTTGAGGCAAAGCCACATGTAGTCACAAATCCAGGCAGCTGGTGATGAGGGTTTTAGGCAGCTAGAGGTGACCAGATCACTGTAGGCAGGGCAGTGGAAATAGATTAGAGATTCATGTGAAGCTGGAGCAGATACAGGAGCAAAATGGTACTTCTTCCAGGCGGAATGGCGGGAAAGAGCACAGAGCAGAGGAATTGTTCCACCCAACAGATGATATCAGCACTTGAGCCCTCAGTCTAAAACCACCAGTGGTGATGTTCTGCTTCCGCAATCAGTCGGTTTCCATCTCTGTCTTCTTGCATGCAGTTTCAGCTTCCATTTCTGCTTTCATCTGTGGTTCCTTACATGCAGTTTCTGCAGCTTCTGCTTCCATCTCTGCTTTGTTTTCGGTCATGTTGCCTGAATTTTAGAAGCTTCAGCACTGGCACAGGCTTTAAAAAGTTGTTGGCTTGGAGTGGAAAATCTTTATTGTAGAGCAGTATTTATTAACTGGGGTTCTGTGAAAAGTCCCTAGGGGTTCCTCCGCAAATCAACATTATGGCGGATGTATGCCGCCCAATGTTTTTTCCAGTGCTGTTCTCAATGCGCGCTGACAATCATGCATTGATACCCAGATGCCTCCTTTGAATTCACAGGTGCCAGAACTAAAGAGTGAGGAGCCAGAAGTAGTGCAGAGAGCAGGAGTTGAAGGAAGAGCGGACATACAATGGCGGTGCCAATCACAGACTATGGGAGAGAGCGCAGAGCATGAGGCCATGACTGGATCAGGTAAGATCCCATGAGGAGACTGTGTGGCTGCAGTGTATGGGAACAGTATGATCCAGAGTGCAGGTGGAGTGGGGGTAGAGCAGAGAGAGGGAGCACATGGCTAAAGTAGGAGGCGCCATCCAGTGTATGGCAACAGTGATGCAGAATGCAGAGAGGGGGAGCACATAGCTTTTCATTTGTTTCTTAATTGTTGTTATACCTACAGCTTGCTGATCAGATCCAAAGTTCCGTGAGTTGTAGTTCTGAAAATTTTTTTCAAAGGTTCCCCGAGATCTCAAACATTTTGCCAACGGTTCCTCCATGGTAAAAAGGTGGAGAAATACTGTTAGAGACTTGGCAGATCTGGAGGAGTGTTTTGTAGATACAGAGTGATGAGATTTTTGATTCATGAAGCTGTGCAAATCGCCTTTGTCATTGTTTGTAGTACTAAACAGTCTCTCTGGATTAAACAAATCAAATCCCTTCAAATCTGTCCTATGAAGCTTAAGCGTTGTACTGCTTTAAGGGGTTAGTATATTTAAAGTAGAACTATAGGCCAAACTGCCCCCTTCCCCCATTTTGGATAGTGTCACGCTTCAGTGCACATTAATCCAGCGCCAGGTTTTACCTCCTGTCGAGGTTGCTTGAGTTCCTGCCTATATGCCTTGAACCTAGGTATTAAGCCTTTGCACCTGTGTTAGTGTTCGAGCAACATTTCTTAATGTAGAAGCAGGACCCCTCTGTTTCCTGTAGTATTCGCAGCCGTTTGAGTATTCTCACATTTAGTGTGTTTGATCCTTTGTTCAGTGTTTTTCCCCTGGCTGTGCAGTTGTGTTCCCTTTGCCTTCTGTGGATTCCTTCCTTCTCTGTAGCTATGTGTCCTTCTCAGTATTGTGTTTCTTGTTGTTGGTTTGTCCTGCAGTCCCTTCCCATCTTGCTGCAGTTGGTTACTTTAGTTCCTTGTATCCTGTGTGTACCCAGTGTCCTCCTAGCATGCCATTTGGTTGCACTGTGTCCACACGGGTGTGTTAGAGAGCCGCAACCTGGGTGCTGCCATGCAGTGCATCATCCACAACTCTAGAGACTCTGATGAAGACCGGATGGCTCCTTAGATCTTGCGACTGGCACACCACCATTTGCATGCAGTCACTGCTCCTACGAGGACTGGTACCAGGGTGCACCTGTTAAGTCGTTTACACTGACCCACTAGATCTTGAGTTACAGTCCAGGTGGTCTTACCCTCTGTATTGTGACAGTTTACTTAAATCCCCATCACCTGCGGATTTCAACTAACGACTTCTTCAAAAAGCTCAGTGCTCAAGAATCTAGTCAAGTTCAAGTTATTGGTCATCTTTAGACTCTTAACTGCAAGTTTGGATCAACTCCAAGCTTTGCTTCTGATATCTGCAGACTTTCCTCAGCTTGCCCTGTGCCGCAAACCATTCCAGGGGCACATCCATGCTTCATCTTCTGGCTCCGCTGTGATTCTCTGGAGATCTTAAGGCCTGCCTTGGGTTTGTTAATCAATGTAACATTCATTTGGAGTTACAGTCGCAGAAATTTCCTTCTGCAAGGGCCAAGGTCGCATACACAATTTCTCCGCTTTCTGGAGAGGCTTTGGCCTCTTTGCTGTAAGAAAAGATTGATCCTGTAACCAATGATATCACAGCATTTTTCACTCTTTTTAAAGAGATTTTTGATGAGCCAGGCCATGTGTCCTCTGCTGCAGGTGCCCTTCTTTGCCTCCGTTAAGGTAACCTCACCATTGAACAGTATACCATTCAGTTCCACACCCTAGCAGCTGAACTTTCCTTGGACAATTAAGCACTTACAGCAGCCTTCTGGCAACGTTTGGTGAAACGTTTCAAAGAATAGTTGGCGAGTCAAGAAATTCCTACCATCCTGGAAAGTCTAAATTCTTTGGCTGTCCAGATCAACATCTGTTTCCAGGAGCGCTCCCAAGAAAGGGTTCAGCAGCACAAATTCTCAGCTCCTCGTCTGGCTCCAACCTTCCATCAAAATGGCATGCAGTAATGCAGGCAGCTTCTACTGTAATTATATATATATATATATATATATATATATATATATATATATATATATATATATATATATATATATATATCACAAAATGACTTGTATAACAGTGCCATTAGAAAAATACAGGATTATTGCTCTCTTGTAGGCTGTATGCTTCTGTGATTAGCTTGCAGGCAAATACAGGCTTGACAACTAAAGCACTGGCTTAAAGAAGAAGTAAAGTCTTTTTTCAAATATTATACCTACATGTAAGCATGTAGTAAGGCCTGTAAGTACAATGAATATCTCCTAAATTTGCACCAGAGCATGCACTCTGAAGGGATGGCATACCTGTGCCGTCCCTTCAGAGGTCTGTGCCACAGACATTAAAACACGGCTCGGACAGTCAGAGCACGCAAACCCAGATGGAAGACTGGTTGAAGATGGAAGCCCTGTCAGCGGCGACAGCTTGCTGCTGGAGGACTTTGTTTTAAGGTAAGAATTTCATAATTTGCTAGTATGCGATGCCCACTAGCACATTATGTTATTGTCTTGCAGGTTTTTTTTGTTTTTTGTTTTTTTTTAAAGGCCACGGTTTACTACCACTTTAACCTAATGTATATTCAGAATCCATAGAACATCCCACAGTATATTACAAAGTTGATTTTTTTGATTGGAACTAAATTATTTTTTAAACTGCTGGCAAACAGTGACTCAATCTAAATGACATCTTGTAGATCGTAGAAAGCATTATTCCACATCCTCTAGCTATGGAGTGAGAAAGGAACAAAACTAACACACTAACATGTTTGTCAGTGTCCTCCTGTATTCAGCAGCAACTCTAATTCTAAATTCTTGTTTCCCTCAATAGACAAAAAAAACAGACATCACAGGCAAACAAAATAAATTCAAGCTAAAGCCTATTCAAACAGCTAAATACACAATTAAAATATGCAAGTAATGTTATCTGTCACGTGATTTACAATTCTGTTTAGCCAATTTTGAAATTCATAAACCTCTTCCAGACACCACATCTAAGAGGGCGACACCCCATACTCTAAAATAATGTTTTATAGTTGGGTCATCTCCTACAGCTTTCCGATTGAATAAAAGGAGAAACAGGATATAAAAGTAACCAACTCTGCTCTAGCCTACTTAGCTCATGTTATTGAAAGCAGGGATGTACAATTCCTATCTCCCGATGCCCGGGAAACGTAGTTCCAGGCACCAGGCAGGTAGTTTGGGTGGGCAAGCGGCAGGGCTTACTTGTCAGGTGGAAGCAATCGCGCAGTCATGTAGGGTTCCGCCCACAAGGCTGCATCATTTATGCAAAGTTCTGTGAATGAATCAAGTACATCCTTTGCGGATGTCGGCTTGACGTTCTTGTGCTCTGGTAATTTATTGATTCTTCCTTTCAGTGTGAAGCTGCCTGTTCGTATAATGTACGGGCAGACAGATTACACTGAAAGTCTGCAGGAGCTCTGCATGGCACCCGTGATCTCCTGATCGCTGGTGCAACGCTTTCCAGGCTCCTGAAAAAAAAAAAATAAATAAATAATAGTATATGCACTTTTTTTAACCTACAAAAGTGTGCATTTTATTGTTTTCAAAAAGTGAACTTATCCTTTAAGAGAGCAGACATCAGAGCTTGATTTGGCTACTCAGCATGCGCTTGTACTGAGTACCCAAGTGCTTCCGTGTGTGAGGGTAACCTGAAGAAATACATTTTTTTTCCTCTCATTGGGGCTGGTGCTTCATTTACTCGCTCAACAGATGCACTTCTGCTGAGTGTTAAGAGAGCCTGACACTCCCCTTTCCTGACGAGCACACAATTGGGGCTTGTCACATTGTAAGGTCTCTCCCCTCCATGCTAGTCCCTGGGTGCAGTGCTAGAGACAGGCAGGGAGGTGAGCAGGAGATAAAACAGCACACTGTTAAAAATATTGTAAGTGTAAAGTCGCAATAAAGCCCTTTTTGTTTTTAAAAGACCCAGACATTCCTAAAAGCACCTAAGATTTAAATATGGTTTTGGTAAAAGTCTGTTAGGACAAGTAGACTGTCATAAGGGACAAGTAGACTGGGACTCCAATTTAGTTCCTTTGACAAATATTTAAAAAAAAAAAAAAAAAAAAAAAAAATTCCACACCCCCTAGAAAGGGAAGACGGGAGGATTACAACCAGATTCAGCTACTTAAGCCAGTAGTAAGTATAAATGCATTTTTAGAGGCACACACACAACAGCATAGTGAATTTAATATGTGCCTGCAGCTTAGCTTTGACACTATGGCATAGAAAAGCGAAAATTCTATGACAATAAATATTTAAACACATACAAAGGATAGTAAAATAATAAAAAAAACAAAAAACAAAAAAAAAAAAAACACTACAAACCATTTTGTTTTCTGGTGCTGAATAAAATCTTTCAGCTGCTTAACAGTAGCCAGTCTTCGGTCTCTGTCGTCTTCCCGGGTGATCCTCCGAAGAAGATTCGACAGCCGAGACTCTTCAGTATAGGACAGCGATCGTTCTGTGGAAAACAAATTTCAACTTTACACTTTGCTACTGGAAATTAAATTTTATTATACGGTTCAAGAACTCAATATAAGCCCAATACTCCTTAGGAAAAACATGAAAAAGAGCAAATCAGAACTGACAAAACACATTTGCATAACCGGCTGCTTTATAGGAAATCTAGGAGAACAGTTTTAAGGAACTACCACTGCATGCCTGCTTTTAAACGTGTAGCTTCCAGAGCCATCAACCTGATCCTAGCTTCTCTACAAAGTGGCTCACTGACCTGAAATTGCATGCATCCAGTAAACTCTGAACGGTCTGAATTCCTACCCTTCACATTTGTTCCAGGTCAATGACTCACTCAGTAGAAAAGCCAAGGACTAGGGTGATAGAAATGGCACATTTCATGTGTCTATCCTCAGGAGGTTCCTTTATGGAACACAACAGATCTGTTTGTGTTCTCACACCAAAAGTACATACCTACCTTTCCTTGGTTTCCACACCACTCCAATCTCAGTGAGCAAAAGTAAAAATATGGTTCTTCCAGGTATGGAAGAACATGTTGTTCACTCCCCCTCCTTTCGTGTGACAGCAGTGGTGTTTGATGATTGGCCCAGCACTGTCACATGAGTGCACCATGGCCAACTACAGAGATCTGAAGCTTACAGTTTCTTTCATCACTCTCACTAGCTATAAAGAGTGGCAGGGAAGCGAAGAGGAATATTAAAAAGATGGGAGTGCAAAGCAAAAAAAAAAAAAATGGAAAAAGGATTAAACAATTAGACACTAGTGGTAATTTTTTTAGCATACTGGCTACAGTCCAATACACAAAAAAGAAAAAAGCCACACCTAAAATACAATATAATAACCAGTTCATCGACACCCCATAGCAGATGTACTTCTACAGGGCGACTCTGCTGCACAAAATCACGTAAATATACATGATTTTGAATTTTTGGATAGGGGGCGCACACGCCGCCCTATCCGCACCGCTTAGACTGCTGGAGATGTCAATCACTGGGTCACAGCCGGCGATTCCCGACGGGACTCGGTGATTGTCGGCAGGGCTGAGAGCGGAGAGATCTGCGTGTAACACAGCACAGATCTCTCTCCTGTCAACATGGGCATGCTGCTTTGCATCTCTCTGCACAGCAGGTCTCCCAAGTAAAACACCACACAGTAAAACACACACAGAACATTGTTAACCCTTTGATTGCCTGAGATGTTAACTCCATCCTGCACAGTGTCATTAGTACAGTGTCAGTGCTTTTTATTAGCACTGATCACTGTATTCGTGTCACTGGAGATGTCAGTGGCCATTTGTCAGAATGCTCGCCGCAGTACCGCTATAGGTCGCTGATCATCTTCAGCTTTGCCAAATAGAGTCCTCACCGGGAATCACTGGCAGGGACCCGGTGATTGACATCCTCAGCAGCCAATAGCAGCGCAGGTAGGGTGGCGTGCGCCCCCTACTCAGAAATGCAAATCACGTATACATACATCTGTACAGTACATCTGCTATAGGGTGGCGGGCATGCGGTTAATATTGAATTATTGAATTAATTGCCCTCAGCTAATAATACTCTTCCTACCAGTCCATCCCCCACAGTCATTACCTTTTGTACCACTAACCCCTCCCTCCTAGATTGTAAGCTCCAAGGAGCAGGGCCCTCCTATCCCTCTTGTACTGAACTGTAATTGTTGCTGTATTGTAAAGCGCTGAGCAAACTGTCGGCGCTATATAAATCCTGTATAATAATAATAATTATAAAACCTATGTGTATATTTTCTATGCAAAGGTAAGGTTTTACGTTAACAAGTTCACCATTTACAGAAACTGGCCCATGCAGCCAAGTGGCCCCAGTAGCTTAAAATACACTAACGTTTGTAAAAATATTGTTTGATCTAGATGCCATACCTGTAGGCCTTTTCTGTCACCCATGATGCCTGCCCGAAGTATTACCATATGTCCTGGTTTACTTCTAGGACATTGCAGAAGCAAGCTTGCTTTCTAGCTCAAAAGCTGGGCATATGCAGTGTGCAGTCCTATCACAGCAAAAACTCTCCAGTCGCACATTTCCACTAGGATTTTCACTTCTGAAGCTCATTTCCGTCTTATGCTCTGGGTTACAACATGGGCACTGAGCCTCTTTCTTTGAGGAGAACTAAAGAGATCATAAGTTTAGTTGTCTAAAGGCCAAGCAGCCATTTTTTTTTTTTTTGAGGTCCATGCCCTGGAAAAAAAAATCTAGGACTTGATTATGTAAAAATTGGGAATATTTCAGCCAGGCCTCATGGGTGACAGGCCTACAGGCATGACATTTGCTTTAACTGCTTCCCGCCCGCCATGTACAGCTGCCGGGCGGCAGCTACAGGCAAAGCAACGTACCCGTACCGCTCTGGCTGTCGCTCTGGCTGTACTATCATGGGGCTGCTGCGTGCCCAAGCAGGCGTACAGAGCTCCCCTCATCCCCCGCGACTGCTAACACAGCAGAATGAAGAACCTGGTGAACAGGACCTGGTGATCATGTGATTGCTATGCGCTCACATTGTAAGCAAAGCTGTTATGAATCAATCTCATTCATAACAACTCTGCTCATCTTCCTAGTGATCTGTGATTGGCCCACAGCTGTCACACAATACATGGGGCACAATCACAGCACCCTGTACCATGTGACCAGCTCTAGCCAATCACAGATCACTATCTTGAGCTGTCAAAAACCTAACTCATAACAGTTCATGAATGAGTTCGGTTCATGACAGCAAGCTTTGCATTGCAGGAGAAATTATCTTTATTTCTCCTGCAAGTGTATTTAAAAAAAAAAAAAAAAAAAAAAAAAAAAAAAAAAAAAAAAAAAGGTGACAAGGTGAAGTAATCTTGCATCGCTTCCTCTTTTGGTGTGTGATCACACCTGCAACCCCTGCTGCCAACCTTTTTTTTTCAGCTGGCAGTTGTCTTTCATGTAAAAAAAATCCTAGTGGCCAATTAGCTGCTGAATTGTTTTTACAAGCAGCGGGAAGGGACATCTCTCCAATGGAACGCAGAGATAGTAACAAAAAGGGGGAAAAAAAAATGTGTTGGCCTAAATATACACAGCACTTGTAATTATTTTAAAATACATCGAAATAGATAGTTTGCTGGTGATGCACTCCATATTAGCAATTCTACACTTACCCTGGGATTTCCTCATATCTTTTGTGGCTAAAGCACGGTTTCCATGCTGGACAGTGAAATCAGGGCTTACATTGTTAACCCTCAGCTCTTGCCCCAACGACTTCCGACCAAAAGCATTTTCACCAGATCCTCCATTGACAGTGTAGCCATCTAGAACCAACAGCAAAAATAGTTTAAAAATTCTGTTTTTTTTTTTTTACACAACTATAAGATTGTAAATTCATAACATGCTAACTTACAAATCGAAAGTAGGCTTGTTTTATGAAAAATACACATTTAACTATATATGTTATGTAATAATGATCATACTGTTCTAGCTTCCATACCTTCCTCTTCATTGTGCACATCAGAAGACACGCTGACATCATCATGCTTTTGTCGAGAAAGCCCGGATGAATTAGATGTATGTGATCCATATGAGGTAGAATTCCCCCGGTCTCTCGAGGTAGAGTATTTTAAATTGTCTTGGTCAGCTGAAGCACTTTCAGGTCTATAAAAACAGAACACAAACATACAATGATTTCAAATATATAGCAAAGAAGATACAAAAAAAAAAAAAAAAAAAAAAAAACCCATAACCAAAAAGTGGAAAAAGTGACATTCACAGTTGGTGAATAATTCACAGTACAGTATATTAAAAGAAAAAAAAATATAGTAATATTCTCACCTAGGTGGATGCAGCATCAATTCGATGCTGCATCTGTCCACCGCCACCTCTGCATGGAGAGCTGAGCAAACACTCAGTTCTCAGTCTTTAGTGAGCAGACAGCTGGTGACTGCCACTATGTATAAAAATATACCCTTTTTTCCCTATTTACCCTGGCATACCAACCAGTATATTAAAAAAATTAAATTATACAAAAAGAAAAAAAAAAAAAAAAAAAAAAAAAAAAAGAAGGATACACACACACACACACACAGCAGGATAGGTAGCCGGACACGGAAGCCCCTGCAACTAGCATGTCATCCTGAAAGATGTGTAAAACAACAAACATCTGATGGTTCCTACTGGTCCGGAGTAAAAAAAATAAATAAAAAAAAAAAAAAAAAAAAAACACAGGCTCAGGGGTATGTTGCTCTTAAAAAAAAAAAAAAAAAAAAAAAAAAAAAAAAAAAAAAGGACTGACATCATCATGGTTCTGCCACTCAAGCAGCCGAAGAGATGGAGCTCAAGAGAAGACCAAGTGAGGATGGAAGCGCCCGGGACTAGTGGAGCGCTGTAGGGTTTAATTTAACAGTTAAGTCTGCCACAATGTGCTACTATGTGGTTCCCTTAATCAATTAAAATAAATCCAGTTAAATTTTGCTTGAAACGCCGAGTAATACAAATTAAAAAGAAAACTGAACATTTTTTGTGTTCTAATGTTATTCTGCATCAAAGTATTTCAGTTATGTGAAATGAATGTGGAAATCCCTGTTTAACTTGAAAGTCTTATAACAGAAGTAGATGTACTTTCCATGTCTAAATCAAAACTGTCTAACATTATTTCTTTCAAACTGAGAATTTAAATAGAAGTTTTTGTTTAGTAATGTCACCTGGACTACATTCAAACAGACAAAGCTTAAAGTGGTTCTAAAGACTGAAGGTTTCTATACATGAATGTGAAAAACCTTCAGTGTGCAGTTCCCCCCTCAGCCCCCTAATACTTACCTGAGCCCCATCTCGATCTAGCTCTGTGCAGCAACTCTACCAGGTCTCTCCTTCCTCATTGTCTCAGCCAATGAGGCTCTCTCCTCAATGGCCCCCACTGCTGAGAATCACATGCAAGTGAAAAGGGGGCGGGGGGGGCAGGCAGGCGGAGCCACCCTCTGTGTATTAGACACAGGGAGCGAGTTTGTTCTGGAGGCACTCAGCAGAGCGAAGGAAAACAGGAGCGCTGGCAGGAGACCTAAGAAGAGGAAGATCAGGGCTGTTCTCTGCAAAACTACTGCACAGGGCAGGTAAGTATAACCAGGTTTGTTATTTTCTGGTACAATAGTTTTTAATGAAAAGCAGAAATGGAAATACAGCCAATATGACGTTTGTTATTTTTTAAAGAAAAAAAAAAAAGCTGAACCTTAACCACTTCCCGTCCGGCCGTTGTATATAAACGGCCGGACGGTGGCAGTGCAGGTTCGGGTGGCCGATTATAAACGTCCGCCCGTATCCGAGGCTCGTGCGCGGCTCCTAGAGCGCGCACCCGCAAGCCCGGTGATCGCCGGGTCCCTCGGATACCGGCGATCACCTGACATGGTACAGGACCAATGAAATCGTCCTGTACCATGTGACCAACTGTGTCCAATAAGGACACAGTCTAAATGTAAATAGAAGCCGCATGGTGCGGCTTCCGCCCCCTTGACCGCGCACGCGCGTGCCCAGAGATCGCCGGGTCCCTCAGATACAGGGGATCAGGTAACATGGTACAGGACCAATGAAATCGTCCTGTACCATGTGACCAATTAACTGTAAACAGAAGCCGCATGGTGCGGCTTCCGGCTCCTTCTCCTCACACGGAGTTCTGTCTGTAAGAGAAGGAGCCGGATAGCCTGAGCAAGAGCAAGCCTGATCGCAAGTGTCCCTGACTGTGCCTGGTCACAAGGGTCCCTGACTGTCAGGGTCCCTGACTGTCAGGGTCCAGTGTCCCTGATTGTCAGTGACCCGATTGTCAGTAACCAGTGTCCCTGATCGCAAGCGTCCCTGATCGCAAGCGTCCCTGATCGCCACACAGCGGCCCAGCTGTGTCCCTGATCACTGCATAGCGTCCCAGTGTCCCTGATCTCCACACCAGCAGGTCTTGATCACCTCCACACTACCAGGTCCTGATCATCATACCACCAAGTCTTGATCACCGCCACACCTGCAGGTCCCAATCACAGCTATACCAGCGGGTTCTGATCGCTGCCACACTAGCAGATCCTGATCACAGCCATACCAGCAGGTCCTGATCACCACCCCAGCAGATCCTGATCACCGCCACATCATTGGATCCTGATCGCTGCCAAACCCACGGGTCCTGATCACCACCATACCAGTCCTGATCACCTGAGAGCCATTACAGCAAACTGAGTACTTTTTAATCTTTGCACACAGTTTACACACACACACTCACAAAACATTGCCTGCCAGCTCACAGTATCTCTGATCTTTGCCCAACAGCATCTTGTGTAAACCAACCGCAGACAGCCATCTGTCCCTCACTACAGTAACATCAGACCACTGTACACCAGCATCATCCTGATCACCGCCATCCCAGTAGTTCCTGATCACAGTACCAAAAATATGGCCAAAAGATTATATTCAAGCGAGGAGGCATTTCAAATTCTGAGTATGACAGATGAGAGTGACGGAGAGCTCTCACTGTCAGACTCAGATTCTGTATATGAACCAGTACACAGCAGCGGTTCACTCTCTGATTCAGAAGGTGTTCCAACAAAAAGAATGAGGAGCTCCAAGGACCAGCAAGCAACCACCAGCAGCTCAATATCTTCCTCTGACATGACTAGTACCAGCAGTCTAAGTGCAAGTACTAGTACTCGGGTGTCACGTCAGCGACCAAGGGTCCATACTGCTGTCCCAGATGCACTTTTAAACCCTGTGTGGCTACCTACAGGATCACGAGCACCTATAATTCCCCCATTCATAGCCCAGTCAGGCATTCAGGTAGAAACGCAAAATTTTACAGCCATTGATTTTTTTCCGTTTATTTTTCACTGAAGATTTTTTTAATTCAGTTGTGTACCAATGCAATCTTTTTGCCCAGCAATTTATCACCCAAAATCCCAACTCCTTTTATGCCCGTCCATTTGAGTGGAAATGCCTCACAGTTGAAGAATTTAAAGTGTTTCTCAGCCTTGCATTTAATATGGGACTAACAAAAAAAAAATGAATTACATGCTTATTGGTCAACAAATCCCATTCATCACATGCCGGTCTTTTCCGCCACTATGTCCAGGACCCGCTCTAAAACAATAATGCACTTTCTACATTTCAACGATAATTCCATGTGCCCCCCCAAAGATCACCCCGAGTATGACAAACTTTATAAAATTCGGCCACTGATCAAATATTTTGACCAGAAATATATTGTCCTGAAAAAAACATCTGTGTCGATGAATCCCTAATCCATTTCACTGGGAGGCTGATTATAAAACAGTACATTCCAAGCAAACGGGCCAGATATGGTGTGAAAATGAACAAACGCTGCGAAAGGTCCACAGGATACGTGCACAAGTTCCGTATCTACGAAGGAAAGGACAGTCAGCTAGAGCCCCCTGAATGCCCAGCTTATATGGGGATTAGTGGAAAAATTGTCTCAGTCTGGGACCTGGTATACCCCCTCTTCAACCAGGGGTACCACCTTTACGTGGACAATTTCTACACAAGTCTGCTCCTTTTCCGCCACCTTTATCTCAAGGACATTGTAGCCTGTGGCACAGCTCGACCCAATCGGAAGGGCTTTCCACAACAATTGGTTGCCACCAGGCTAAACAGGGGCGAGTCAGCTAGCTTGCAAAATGAAGAGATCCTGGCCCTTAAGTGGCGAGACAAACGGGATGTGTATGTCCTTTCATCTATCCATAACAGCAGCTCATTGGAAATTCAAGGAAGACGCGATACCATCCGAAAACCTCAATGCATACACGAATACAACCTGTTCATGGGGGGAGTAGATTTAAATGATCAAATGCTACAGCCCTACATACCCAACAGAAGATCAATCTACTGGTATAAAAAAGTATCCTTCTACCTTTTACATATGGCCCTGTACAATTCCTACATCGTTTACCAGAAGTCCACACAAAGACCTGTCACCTTCTTACAATATCAGGAAGAGATTATCACATCCCTCATCTATCAAGAAAGACCCATACCTGAACAAATTCGCTCTGATGCAGTGAGCAGATTGCATGAAAGACATTTCCCCAATATCATCCCTACTACCCAAGCAGACCGCCATCCTCAAAAAAAATGTCATGTATGCTCCAAAAATAGAATTCGACGTGACACCCAATACTATTGTCCCCAGTGTCCCTCAAAGCCTGGTCTCTGTATAGGAGATTGCTTCCGTATCTACCATACCGTACTACATTATTAGTGAAGTATGGTGAAGATATTTCTGTTTGTCCTCCTACCTGCTATTTCCTTGCCACGTTTCTGCCTGTATTCATTTTCCTGCTTTCCATCTGAACTGACCTCGGCCTGTTAATCGACCATGCCTCTGCCTGCTGCCTGAACTGACCTCAGCCTGTTAATTAGGTTTTCTGCCTGCCTCCTGGACTGATCTTTTTCCCTCCCACTTTAGTAGTGGGATTCAAGACAACACAGGGGTCTCACTTATATGAGGGGATCCAGAGTAGTGTTTCCAAGCAGAGAAAACTTTTGTTTTCTTTGGGTTTTGTAATTCCCGGATCAGGGTCTGGAGACCAGAGGCTTC